AATTGTACTTCATTGCCGCTTATCGGTGTTCGAGAGAAACCAATTTGATTCGGGGTAAATTGTTCGAGAGAAAATTTACCCCCACTAAAGTCTAGCCTAGTTACCAATTTGCAGCGAGTTACTATCAATAGCATTTACCCGATTGTGTATTTTAGCCCATATTCCTATCACATCCCAAGAATCCCGTCTCCATATTCGCATTTTCATGTTTAGTTGTCATTTTAGTTGATAATTGATTACAAAACCTCCTTCGATAATTGACACTTGTGTCACCCTTTAATGTGATATGCTTATTTTCGTAAAAGTCTTTAGCTATAATTGACTTGAACGGAGTTCTTGCTTTTCTATTGATTCTCAATCACAAACCGCTCCCTTGGGACTCGACCCCAACTCACTAGTTGGGTTATATTACTATTGAACGACCGTGGACGCTTAGTATTGGATGAAGCGCCCGGATACGTCAAGTCAATATCTCTAGGAAATTTGTGCTATAGAGCATGAATTTTCTATCGAACTAGCCGACTGAAAAAATTGCACGTTGAGAAACAGGTTCTCATTGAAGTAATGGGCATATTCCTAATTTTTTTCGTATGAAAATAGTACTATTTTTTCTTTTCATATTGCTTCAATTAAAATATCTGTAGAAATAACAACCAAACATTTTTCGGTGAGAAAACAGAGTTTTTACTTGTGGAAAGTGTATTGACGCTGATATCATTATCAACTGTTATTTCTTAGAAAAGAAATTTGCTACTTGTAAATTTCTTTATAATTTTTGCCAGAAAAACCAAAATAGAAATTCATTCCAATAGGCTGGTTAAATCCTTTCTCGATAATATTATTTATTGAAATAAAGAGATGAACAACTTGACATGTCAACTATTTTAGGTCATCCATTTTTTATGTTTTATAAGATGTACTTTGTCTGCCAATGACTTGGCTGCTACACCATTATCATTACTTAAATCAATAAACTGACCATCTGTTTACTTTGATTAAGAGTAACATATATTTTAGTAATACTCAAAAAGTTTCGTGGATAGCTGTCTTACTCAACTAGGCTTTATCTCATAGTAGAAATGTAATAAGAAAATAGACCAAATGTGTTATTAATGAAATACTATATGTCAAAAAAGATGTAAACTTTATTTAATGATTTTATCGCTATCCTTCTAGAGGATTATGTAACTTATGGTCAATGTAGTTAAGCCTCCACCAAAATCATGATTTGACATTTTTATCCAAAGGAAAGATTTTATTTTTTTCCTTCCAGAAGTTCTAGCATGTATATACACCAAGAATTAATATTACACGGAGGAGGATTCAGTTCAGTAGTTCCTCAAATAAAGTTATTGATTCTAGATATATAGTAATACGGAGAAAACAAAATTATTTCAAACATGGACAAAATCCAATGCTAAAAATAAAGAAAAAGGATTGACGGATAGGTCGGTCCAAAAAGTCGAGTCCTCAATTTCGTTCATCGATTTTTTTTGCCGAAACTCAATTAACTCTTTCAAGTTAAATCAAAGTAAATGGGCAAGTCCTAGAGTTGATCACTCCCTTTGAAAAACAATTAAAGTATGAGATTAACTAGATAATCAAAGACCCATTTCATAACTAAGAGAATATTCAACCAATTACAAAACACAAGATAGAAATTAACAACTCAACTATTGTTTATGACTAACACAATATTCAAATAAGAAATTAACAACTACAACTCAATATTTAGGATTTGAGGTCCTAAATTGGAAATTATTGAGATTTTCGTCTTTGGATTGACTTTGGTCAACATTTGGAGTTCGGATGTTCAGAAGGAATTTTCGACAGTTTCGTTGGATTTGGGGGATGATTTGAAGGCCAAAGGAGTTCTTGTTTGAATTTTTAGAGGTCCCAAGCTTGATTAGACTTTTTTAAGCGTTATGCTTGTTTCTTGTGATTTTTACGAGTTTTTGGTCAACAAGACCTCAGATTCATGTTTTAATGGTTCCATTGAGTCCATAATGTTGAGTTTAGTCAGGTAGCATATCTGGTTTGTGTCCACGGGGTTCTGAACGAATCCCGAGGATCCCTTCGAGGATTTGAGAGTTGGCTATTTTTTTATGCATGGTGTGTTTTACTTTAGCGAGGAACGACTCGCTTTCGCGAACGTTGCTTCAGCGAGGATCTGATCGCGTTCGCAAGGGGTCAAGTTTTTCCTGACCCTCGCATTCGTGAAGATTGCATCGCTTTCGCAACCTTTGCTCTAGCGAAGGACGACTCACAAAAGTGAGGCTGGCCACTTATGCGGGGGTTGTTTCGCGACCAAGTCGTCACTTCCGCGAAGCACGTGTTAGCGATCTTGGGCTCGTGAAAGCAAGACCTAGGAGGGTTTTGGTCTGAAATTTTGGGGTTTCCCCCCAATTTCTCCTAGTTTGAGTTTTGGAAAATCCTTGGAGGCGATTTTAAAGAGATTTTTCACGGTGAATCTGTTGGATAAGTGTTTATAACCCTAAACCTTCATTTTCCAATGAGCATTTACGAAACTAAGCCTTTAAATCTTGATTTTTGAATTGCAAACTGAAAAATTTACGAAACTCATGATAAGCTTCTATATAAGCGTAACAAATATGTTTGTATGAGCTATATAGATAACATTTTTTGGGAGTAGTATTTAGTACTTAAGTGAATGAGGGTTCTAGATATCCCAAGTTCTAGAATTACATTCCACCATAGGATTATAGTTCATCGCTTTGTCGATTGACCTTCTGGCCCTGTACCGTGTATCGTGTCTTGCTTGTTCAATTAAAATTCTAGTTGAGTTGTTTCTTGTCCCCTCGCTTATCGGAAATGTGAGTTGTTCTATTAATGGCGCTCTCTTGTTTAATAATGTGTAACGACCTTCTATACATAGTATAGATACATTGTTTATATATATGATTACATAAACAAGATACATTCTTCCTTCATAGTTATACAAAGGAGATACATTTTTTTGGTAATATATATATATATATATATATATATAATGTATAATAGTGTATAATTGTGCAAAAAAGTGTATACACACGATTATAGTGTGTTATATAAATTTGGAAAATGGAGAAGGTAAAAAAATAACATTGAAAGAAATTTGGCTTCCTAAAATTCATTGTTAACATATGTTGGTTAGTATATTTATAAATAATTATAGGACTATGTAAGATATAAGCTGTTTATTTGGAATGTACATTTGTAAGAACCCCCTTCTCCTTGCTAGTAGTTTCACTATTTAGACTTTGGTTATTTCTGCAAAGGTTGAGTTGATCTTCCAAGGGATTCTACCAAGCAAACAACATAAAATTCAATAAACTGTGAAATCAAGCCATGCCATTGCATTTACAGAGATTGAAGGCAAGTTACACTTCCACTGCCATTCCTATATCCAACGTTTTCTCCTAATTCTACTATGAATAAAAAAGAACAAAAAAATATAACACATTCATTTTATCACTGCTTTACAGCATCTATAATGCATGTGGATCATGAAGTGCAACAAAAATTGTTATATGATGGTGGGAGGATTAAAAATGGCCATGGCATCCTTGTTTTTTTATCTGTAAGTTCCCCTTGTCTCATATATAAGAGACCTCTCTACCTGTGGCATCTTCTTGCAGTCCAGAACAGGTGGAGCATTATTCTGAAATGTCCTTTCTAGCTTTGGCTCGATTGTTTTTTTCAAACTCGACTTCTTTTGAAGATCAACTCCAGAGCATTGTGTTCACTACAAACCTAGCTCACTAACACGTCACCTTCCAACATCCGAAGTACCTACAAGTGCAATGAGAAAAACAAGAAGTGTGTATATACATAAGGATCATATTATAGTATTCAGATGAATTCTATTCTAAGGTGTTGCTAACATGATGTCATTAAGTTTAACCTTGAAAGTAGCATGAGCTTTGCTTGTCGATAATAAGCAATTAAAAATGACACGGGTTATATGACAGTTCCTACTACTCTAGTGATATAAGCAATGTTTTTCTTCTTATAGAGCAGGCCAGAAACAAGACTGTTAGATGATGAATCAAACAATAGAGTACCAGCAAGCACCAGCTTTAACCTCCTGCAATTATTGAGCCATGGGGAACTTCCTGAGTTATAATAACTTTACTCAAGAATGATCTTTTACTGAAACAAAGCTGAAATACCAGTCATGAAGAATCTATTTACATTAGGTCCTTTCTGTTTCTTTTGTTTTTTGGGAGGTGGGGGTAGACAATTTTGTCTTCTCGTATTACTATATCTCTAGAGTCAACAATTTTATATGAAGAACTAATGAACTTCAATCACTTGCTGCCGTTTACTGTTGAGGTCTATCAAGTGAAGCTTTTGCATTTGGTCAATAGTTTGGACCACAGTCATTATAGTAAGAGCATATAATTAGCTTCCAGAACTAGAAACTCTTGTAGCAAAAATAGGCAGTTTTCTCACAAGTTTAAATTTTTAGACAGCAACATTCAGTATATATCTCTACCTGAGACATCCTCGGCCTTGAATTAGGGTCCCGGCGAATGCATAATGAAGCACAATGTAGCATGCCACGAACTTCCTGCTCCAAGCAGCAGTTCACTAGACATGGGTCGATGAGTTCAGAGATGGCACTCTTTCGAAGCAGAGGACGTGCCTGCTCCATTTGGAATATAAGGATAAACTATTAGTACTCTAAACCATTAAAGCATGGTCATACGCAGACATTGATGTGCCAATAAAACACAAGGAAAACTTAAAGAACTCATACCCATTCACTGAGGGACTGCTGGCCCTTTGGGCGGTTAATGTCTATAGCTTTTCTTCCAGTGACAAGTTCCAATAGTACTATACCAAATGAGTATGCATCAGCTTTTTCAGTTATTTGACCACTTTGAGCATATTCCGGTGCCAAGTACCTGAACAAGAAAAAATTGCACCAATTAATAGGCTGAAAGATAGTGTGCCGGGACAACTGTGTAAGGTTTCATATATAGTTATTTACCCAAATGTTCCAATTACTCTGGTATCAACTCCTAAGTCTCCTTCGGGTTGCCACCTCGCCAGCCCAAAGTCTCCAACCTATATCACAAAGAAAAAGTGAAGAGGGGGGCTTAAAATAGTAGATGAAAGAAAAGAATATTAGAACCAAGCAAGAACAAGAAGAAGTTCGTTTTGTGACCAGTTTTAGAGAACAAATAATCTACTACATTTTAAAGACAATTACGGCAAGATATTTCTGAAAACTGTTTTTCCCTTCCATCATGTAGAACAAAGATTTACAAGAATCAACTAAAGCTTGTGTTCTTTTAAAGTATATAAAGAAGGCCAAAACATGACAAGCAATAATGCAAATAGAAAAACTAAAGTGTAAAAGAGCAATGCGCACCAATGGCTCAAAATCATGAGTTAGGAGGATATTATTTGGCCGCATGTCACGATGAACAATACAACCTACTCTGCACTCCTCATGCAGGTATCTCAGTCCTCGAGCAGCTCCCACAGCAATCTTTTGACGTGCTGACCAATTTAATGGATGTCCATTACGTCCTGTGGATTGACAACTTGGTTATGAACATATAATTATGGGTTGCACAGTTTTTGACAGGTTCCTAAGCTTTCAAGAAACTTCGGTGTTCACTACATGCTCTACACATGAGCAAAAGAGGTTCTCATAATAATCGTCCATATAAAGTGAGTTTGTAAGGTGAAAAAACACTTTTGACAGATCTATGTAAGGGAGGAGTTATGACTAGAAGTGGAACCTCACACTCAAAATTATCAAATTAGAAAAAAAGAAGAAAATAACAGCTTCAATTTCCATTCACTTAAATCATTTCAATGTCATATAGATCAAGAACGGGACATGGGGTTTAATGAGTATTGAGATATAAAAACATATGACTAGAGAAGTTGGTACCATAAAGGTGAGAATCTAAAGAGCCATTGCAGATGTATTCATAAACTATTAACCTTCTTCCATCTTCCACACAGAAGCCTATAAGCATCACAACATTTCGATGTTGAGCACAGCTCAGGACCTCCACTTCAGAGCAAAATTCAAGGTCTCCCTGCGAACTAGCTGATTTGTATTGCTTGACTGCTATAACTTGGCCATCTGGTAAGTGTCCACGATGTACAGAACCATACCCACCCTCAGCTAAAAAGTTAGCTTGTGAAAATCGACTGGTAGCACGTTCGAGCTCAGAATAAGTGAACCACCGAGGTGGTTTTCCAAATAAAGGTGCCTTGTGTTGACATATTGAACAAAGTGGAGGAGCATCAGCAGGAGAATCTTTGTTTAATAACATCATTTTTCTCATATTACTGTTTATTTCCACATCATGCCCTTCTTTCTTTAAACAAACTTTAGGTTCTCGATCAAGTCCAAATGATTTCTCTGGGAAAACATCATGCTTTAACTTTAGCAGTGTGCCTTTGGATCTTGGTGAGTCTCTCTTTAAGTAATGTGAGAAATCCTTTGCTGCAACGAGAATGTCTTGCATCCATTGCTGGGAACATATGCTTGTTGTAGGTGATCTCAGTTTTTCACTATCTGTATCTGAATCGGATTCATCTGAATAATGATTGCATTTATGTGAAAAGGTCTTCTTCATATCCCAATTGACCTCAGAGAAGAAAAGAGGCGAAGTCCCTATGTCTAGACTGGAAATTGAGGATGTCCCAGCATCAGTTGTGGTGAATGATGAATGCTCTGGACTACTTGCTGGAGTCACATTCGGCACCCGAATCTCATTCCAGTGATCATCAGACTTTTCACCTAAATGTTTCGAAGATGCTTGTGACGTACGGGAGACTTCAGTTTCAGTGTTGGGGGATCCAAGGAAATTCAAACGAAGCACTTTTGGTTGAGAGTTTTTCATCTGAACAATATTGCATTCCAGTTGCTCCATACAGATTCTAGCCTCTTTTTTCATTCTCCTGGACATGAGTCATCAAGGAAATATGCATTTAGCAACAAGAGCGCCTAGATTTTAATCAGATGCAAGAAACAAAGCTTTTATATGAAAACATGAAATAAGATGTACACCGTATTACTTATCCAATACCACCCATCGAGTCTGAACTCTCCTAGCTTCAGCAGCCACTACTCCAGACTGTGATCCAGAAATGACTTTGACCTTCACCTTCATCTGTGAAATAGAACTGAGTGATGTGGTAATCCTATATGAGGGAACTAACTTTTCAGAATTAGATAGATCACTTACTTTATTTGGATCATAAATATCATGAAGTTGAAGCAACATTTGAGTACACGATTCTGAAATGAAATCCTTTTGATCTAAAGTCGTTCCGGACAGTGATCTCCAGTTGCTAGCTGTGCAATCGCTGTTAAATCTACGTAAACCCCAAAGCCTTATACCTGAAAGTGTAGGTAACCAGTTCTAAGCTACTTTTAACAGATTTCTCTGTAGCAAATGAAAGTAGTGATGACAAGAGTAAAAAAACTAGAATCACATGCGTAGTAACTATCCTAATTCTTTCAAAGATCAAGTTAAACAGCGCAACGACATGAATCAAGGCCTGAACTGGTAATAGCTCTAGAAATTCTGGAAGAAGCTGCCTTATTCATTATCAACAAAATGAGCAAAAATACAACAACATACCCAATGAAATTCCACTAATTGGGGTCTGGGGAGGGTAGAGAGTATTCGCAGACCTTACCACTGTGTTTCTGAAAAAATGAGCAGAAATGAAGGAAACAAAAACAGGGTAATCCTCCAAATTGCACAATCAATTGCAACTAAAATGAAACATAAAAGGAGAAAGCCCTTCCCAATACAACTAGTAGTATATATGTTAGGGCAGAAAATTTTTTACTTGAGGTATGATTAGGAATGAGAACCAGCAACTTAACAGAATCCCCTGGTTGAACCACATGAGTTAATGCCCAAATAAAAGCACTTCTTGAAATCTCTCTCGAAGCTTTCACAGCAACAACCACAACTCTCTTTCCCACATCCAAGCTCCCACTCTTCATCTCAGATAAATTCAATTGTTTGATTATTCCTCAGAAACCCATTCAGTTTATGTTGCAAATAAAAGATTCCCAAATCCAAAATCAAGAATTGGACGGATGTTAACTGAAAGGTTTCTTCGGAGTAAGAAAAAAATGTTCAAAGTGTGACCCAGAAACAGAAAACGAGGTGTCATGATTTTCTGGTGTTAAGTAAAAAGGATAAAAGCAGACAAACCCAAATAGTCAGCAAAGCCAGCCAGCAAGCTTCGTTAATAATTGGGATCAATCAAATAAAGATGCGGTGCCCAACAAAAATTGAAACGATAATCAAGGACAAAGACAGTGAAAGATAAACAAACTTTGAATAACAGTTCGTTTTCCAGTGACCCCACAAGATTCCTATCTACTCTTCTTCCCTTTTTATACATGGAAAGCTTTCTATTACTGTATGTACTAATGGAATCAACCATGCTACACTCCAAGAATATAACCTCTCCTTTGCCCACATTGTCAAGTGGAAAGTTGAACTTGAAAAAAATTGTGATTTTTGCAACTTGAATTTGTGTATGGATATTATTTTAATTGGAAAAGCTTTGAAGTTTTGGTAAGCAAAACTCTAAAATGTTTGATCAATTTTTAGAATTGAAAATATTTTTGAAACAGATTTTAAAAATCTATATCAAAATTTATAGTCAAGTAGATATTTGCAAATACATTTTTAAAATCTAATTCAAAATAAATGGTCAAACACTAGGTAAGGAACTAGTGGCAACACCAGGTCCAAACTTTTCTTTTTCTTTTCCACTCTTAGAGCTTGTTTGACATTGCTGGTGGGAGCCCAAAAGTGTTTTTTGGCGAAAAATCTTTTTTTTATAAAAATAATTAGTTTTTGGCAAATTCTTAAAACTATTTTTAAATGAAAGCAGAAACAGAAAATTATTTTTCTGAAGATTAAAATATCCCTCTCATATATACATATTTACTACTGTATTCCTTATTAATTAATTAACATATTTCATAAGTTTGGTTAGTTTCATTCAAGATTTTTTTTATATAATATTTTTTTATTATTTCTTGTTTATATTATTATTATTATTATTATTATTTATGTTTTATATATTATTTTACATTTTATTTTAAAGAATCAGAAATAAATGTAACAACTACATTTTTGTACGATTAAAAATATGAAGGACTTTATTTATTTTTGTGGTGAATTTTTGGAATAATTTTTAAATTTATTTTTCTTGATATTTTGAATTATATTTAAGTCATCATGCTAGTATTATAGTAATATTTTATTTATTTATTTATTTATGTATAATATTGATTGAAAATTTGAATATGTATATTTTAATTAAAAAATTTCTATAAATATTTAAAATAGTTTCTCTTTATAAATAATCTTAATATTAAAAGTACATTGATACTTACCCTTTTTCTTAATTTGACTCTCAAAAGCATTTTTGAAAAGAGATTAGTCAAACACGGTTTGCTTATCAACAACATTTTTCAAATGAATTAGTCAAATACAAATTGTTTTTTTTTTCAAAAGTCCTTTTTTTAAAATCCATTTTTAAAAAATGTTTCTAGAAATAAATAATTTTTAGCAGTAATGCCAAACAGACTCTCAATCTGTTCAAACTTTAAATAAATGAAAAGAAGCTAAAATATACCCAAAATATTAAAAGTAGCTCATAAATGTCTTCCTTTTAACTTTAGGCTCAAATATACCCTACAACTAATGGATAAGTTGATATATTGTGGATTTTAAAATAATTATATGGCACGTTATAAGTTTGTCACACGTATAATTTAGGATTAAATTACACACATCCATTTATTAAGAAACTTAACCTTATTTAATCTTAACTTAAACCCACGACCCCTTTTTATTGTTCCTCATTAGAATAAATTGATTTTAAGTAATGACTTTTGAAGTTTAAGATTAGGTTCTATAATGTGCAATTTGCAAACCCTCAATTGAGATTTATAACTCATCAAAGAAGCAAAGCCTCTTAATATACGATTTTGAACAAATCTTATCTAAAGCAATATGAGGAGCAATGTAACAAAGAAAATATGTGTATTCCTCGATAGATTATGATACATAGAGAGCCAAGTATAAAATCTATCACATAAGATATTTAGAGGTTTGTGTACCTACAAGTGTTATTTGTGGAGAGCAAAGAAGGATTGTGCAAGAAGATGTTAATGCTATTAAAGAATGTAGAATATATTGAAGACTGATTCATAGTATGACCTGGTAATTAAGTTTGTTAGTAGTGTCCTATATTCTAGGGCTAGTTGTTAACAAATATGATGATCATGGTGCAGTACTTTGTAGTTGTGTTTTGGTTAGTAATTAGTTGTTGCTTAGTTAATGGAAGTAGTGACTTTAGTGATTTAGTAGTTTGTTAATGGAAGTAGTGACTTTAGTGATTTAGTAGTTGTTGCTGAACCCAAGTACGCTAATGACATGTATACAACTTGTCAATTTTCTTTTGCTATTTCAGATCCTACACATTATGGAGAAGCAGCTGAAAAGGAAGAGTGGCGGAGAGCGATGTTAGAAGAGATGAAATCTATCGAAAAGAATGGCACATGGGAGATGGTGGAATTACCAGAAGACAAAAATGCAATTGGTGTGAAGTGGGTGTTCAAGACAAAGTTTGTAGCGGATGGGAGCCTGCAGAAGCATAAAGATCGTCTTGTGGCAAAAGGATATGCACAACAATATGGTATTGATTTTGAAGAAATATTTTCTCCGGTCGCTCGATTTGAAACTGTTAGACTTGTTCTAGCATTGGTTGCACAATCACAATGGCTAGTTTATCAATTTGATGTCAAGTCGGCATTTCTCTATGGTGAACTACAAGAAGAGGTCTACATAGATCAAACAGAAGGTTTCACAAAGAAGGGCGATGAAACAAAGGTCTACAAACTAAAAAAGGCATTGTATGGTCTAAAGCATGCCCCTCAAGTGTGGTACAGCAAAATCGATGGGTATTTTCAGAGAAAGGGATATATGAAAAGTGAGAATGAACCCACGTTGTATGTAAAGAAGAAAGGTAATGATTTCACCATTGTTTGCCTTTATGTTGATGATAACATTTATTTTAGCTCTTCTATTTCTCTGGTGGATGAATTTAAGTCTCAAATGATGAATGAGTTTGAGATGTCAGATATGGGGTTATTACATTATTTTCTTGGCCTTAAAAGTCCATGAAGCTGAAGATTGAATGCTTCTTTCACAAAGGAAATATGCCAAGGACCTTCTCATTAAGTTTGGTTTGCTTAATTGCAAGCCTGCTGCTACACCTATTAATATTGGTGAAAAACTACAGCTTAAGGATGGAGCAGAGATGGATGATGCTAGAAGTTTCCGAAGCATGGTTGGAGGTTTAATTTACCTAACGCGTACTCACCCCGATATTGCATTCTCTGTTGGTGTTATATCCATGTTTATGCAACAACCTTCAAAGGTTCATTTTGGAGCAGCAAAAAGAGTTTTGTGTTATGTCGCTTGAAGTATGGGCTATGGGATTTGGTATTCACAAGGTTCTAACTTCAGATTATGTGGGTTCACTGATAGTGATTATGCTAGATCATTGGATGATAGACGAAGCATTTCGGCACATATTTTTACTCTTGGGTCAGGAGTAATAAACTGGAGCTCAAAGAAGGAAGCTACAACAACCTTATCCACCTCTGAAGCTGAGTACATTGCAGCTACTTCAGCCGCTTGCCAAACTATCTGGCTAAAAAGGATGTTAGCAGAACTTCAGCATAAGCAAGAAAGTGCAACAGAGGTATATTGCGATAACAAAGCATCAATCTCCATGACAAAGAATTCAAATTTTCATAGTAGAATGAAGCATATTGACGCTTCCATTTCATTCATGATTTGGTTGCAAAGGAGGAGATTGTATTGAAGCATTGCAACAATCATAAGCAATTAGCATATATTGACGAAGTCTTTGGCAGCAGACAAGTTTATCTATTTGAGGGCTTTGCTTGGTGTCTGTAACTTTGAATCAAAGGGGAATATTGAAGGCTGATTCAAAATATGACCTGGTCAATTAAGTTTGTTTGTAGTGTCCTATGTTCTAGGGCTAGTTGTTAGCAAATATGTTGATCATGGTGCAGTACTTTCTAGTTGTGTTTTGGTTAGTAATTAGTTGTTGCTTAGTTAATGAAAGTAGTGATCATTTAGTGACTTAGTAGTTTGTTATTTTAAGTCTATATAAATCTGTACTTTCCTGTGATTTCATATACTGAAAAAAAGAAAAGACTTCAGCATACAATTCTCTTAACCTTCAATCCTCTGTTTCTTCTTAAAGTTTTCCTGTCTATTTAATTTACTCCAACAGAATATTCATGCGAGTTTAGGAACTAAGGATATGTATTCTGCTTTCACATTAGACTTATTGACGGTACACTATTTTTTCGATACCCATGGTACACAATTTGATCCACCCCAATCTTTATTAGAGAATCCCACACGATTAAGTGATGATTGAGCAGAGATTCAAAAGTCAAATTGAGTCGTACTAGCTAAGTATATATAGAAGTACTCCTTTTTACAACACTACAATGATTATCCACTCGATTCTACATGAATTGATAAAGAGGATAAACAGTATGACCGAGGTCTGATCATGTGAGAGTTAGGCACTAGAAAGCGCCAAACACATTTCTAATTTTGAAAGAATCAAACGAGGGATCATTTGAATTATGTAATCCATGTTTTTGAGAAAGTGGAGTGTAAATGGCACAAGCACATGCCAATTTCGTTCTCTCTAAATCATCAAGACATACTTTTTTTGGTTAAGGTGTAAACCATCCTTGGTAAGCATGTCTTCAATGCCTATATATATAGTAAGGAAGAGACCTCGTGTCTTTCATGGAATACTTGGTTTTAAGTTGTTAATTAAGGCATGAAGCATTGAGGAGTTTCTACATGTGTGGAGTATATCGTCATCATATAATAAAGGAAAATGGTTGTAAGATGTAAAAGGAAAAGTTTACTTTTCTACAAGTAAATCCCACTTAAAAGAAGTGGGGTGCTAAACTTCTGAAATCAAGCTTTGGGTGTTGTTTCAATTCATATAGGGACTTTGTAGATTACACACATGAGTTGGAAATATTGGATTGAAAACCCCCGAACTGTGTTCCATAAATATTATCTCCTTAAGAATTTCATAGAGGAATGCATTCTTGAGATCGAGTTGCTTGATTTTCCGGTAAAACAATCAGTCTGGCGCTCAGGAAAAACTAGTGGTACCATATCTTATGGTAATCCTTCTCTCACTGCGATAATTAAGGAGAATCAAAAAAGGTATTAGCTAATCTCCAATATGGGTACTAATTTTGACCTATTAACAAATAGGTTTATCAAAAGTGGTATG